GCTCTAAGTTCAGCTTCTGTTTCTATTTATATTCCTAAAATCACTGATGTTGTATTTGTTACAGCTGCTCCAAACTCTTTGTGAAAACTTTTTTTTTATTGTTTGTTTTTGTTTTTAGTGTTGGAGTATTTAAAGTATGATGCATGTTTTAAAAAAATACTCACTTTTTAAACTAAATGATGATTATATACTGATATTTTGTAAAGCATATTGTGTAATATATATTTTAGCATCAATAAAATATTTTGGCAAATTCGTCGTTTTTCCCAGTAAATGTACATACATATACATAAACATAACGCACACGCATACACGCACGCGTGCACGCACACACATACACACACACACACACACACACATACACACACACACACACACACACAACACACACACACAACACACACGCACACACACACACGCACACACACACACACACACACACACACAACACACACACACGCACACACACACACACACACACACACACACACACACACACACACACACACACACCACATACACACACACACACACATACACACACACACACACACACACACACACACACACGTATATTATACACACACATATATATATATATATATATATATATACATACATATCGATAGGTAGATAAATGTAAATACACACATACTTATACATACATATACATACACACATTACGGATATTTCATCCTGTTGTACAGCCGCGATATGTTTACCTGAACGTGAATTCCAGGCCACAGGCAGAAGGGTAATCAGATACTTTCCACCCCGACTTTGACCCCGCCTTATCCGGGTTATAAGCTGGGCTAGGCCTGGTTATACCCCGGGTATGAATTGTAACAAGAGAGAGAGAGTGAGAGTGAGAGAGGGTGGGGGGCCAGGCAGACAAACAGAGATAGAATCAGAGAGAAAGAGAAAATTTCATTAGTTTACCAGTTAGAAGATCGTGCTTTATCATAAAGGCCTTCGAAGAAAACGCATCAATACTCCTTTTTGAGATAAACTAATACAAATCAACAAACTTTTTTTTCCGAAAGTGGCGTTTCTTCCGATGACATAGAATATAACATAAAAGCCAAACAGGGAAGGAAATGAACACGGATGCATACATAACTAATTATCACAGCAGAGTCGACTGAAACGGGTTGGCCGGGTTGGCGCTCTACCTGAATGCCCCTTCCTCCTCTCTCTCTCTCCCTCGCTCTCCTCTCTCTCTCTCTCTCTCTCTCTCTCTCTCTTCTCTCTCTCTCTCTCTCTCTCTCTCTCTCTCTCTCTCTCTCTCTGTATGAAATTAGACAATGAATGCCTGTTTCTGTCTATGCCATCTCGTGCATTTTAATATAGATATGAAGATGCAAGATTCAAAGTTTCCGTGATTTTTTATATTTAAAAACATTCCTCGTCAGATATAGATATCCGTTCCGATCATCCGCTTAAAACAACACTTTTTGTATAGGGTAAGAGATATTCGAAGATTTGTGACATGACTTCTGTCCTTCACTTCATATCCGGTGGTTTTGGGTAAGTTAACCTACTTTATCAGACATTTTTTTAAATTGATTTTGTTGACCAGTATAAGCGGCAATCATTCTACTTTTAAAATGCAAGTCCCTAAATTGCTCACAATCTCCAGCCGTTTGTTGATTCGCACCCATGGCTGAGAGGGTAAGGCTATCCTCTCTTCACAAACGTTCGGGTGACTGGGAAGGCCAGGTCAGTAGCAACTCGAGGGGGTGTCATGGCGTCCCACAGAGCTATTTTGATGGTTGTTCAACGGAAATATAACCGTTAAAATCATTATTTTCCATCTTTTTTGAAAATTGAAAAGACCAAAATGATCGACCGTATTCGCAAAGCACTCGTAACTTTTGTGACATCAAAATGTTTTTTTTTTCCAAAAATAGAATCAGATGTCGTAGCACCTCCCTGATCTAGCCTTTCCCGGTGACGCTGAATTCTCCCGCCGCGCCGTCTGTTTTCAAATCACTCGCCGCATGACGTCACAGGGTTTGAAAAGCGCCAACCGTCACGAGTAGTAACGGCAATCACTTCTGTAATTTTGTTATGCTTAATTATTTGTAGAAGAAAATGAATAGACAAATGAAAAGAAAGATAATGATAATTAAACTATGAATAGAAAACTATCTTTGATGGAATGTAAGTAGTTCTTACACATATCATAATCGGTTCCATCTGGATGTAAAAGTAGTCACGTTTCCCTTTCTATTTCGCCATCTACATAAGACAGATAACGCTGTGTCGTTATGGTTCTCTCGTATTTTCATGTGAGAACCGTATTCATTTGCGACGAATGAAGAAAGATAAATATTCCTGATGATACCATCGGAACCGCTCAAATACATCTCTCCCAATGTAAAAATATTCATTCTCATTCAAACATTTTCATACGAGTTAGGTTAGGCTCGACAGTCGCAAGATATATATGAATTTTAGTTAAGATGAATAAGGTACGAGGTAGGCCATTAAATCTGATCAAGGAATTCCTTGCTTGCACAAAATATGACTTTGCTTTTTCATTAATAGCATTGCTGTTTTTAATAACAGCTGACATTGAAGCCTACATCCTCTGACACGGAGGCACTAGTAGCAGCTGCACAGTTGGGGAAGGCTAGATCAGTAGCAACTCGAGGTGGTGTCATGGCGTCCCACAGGGCTATTTTGATGATTGTTCAATGAAAATATAACTATATATATATATATATATATATATATATATATATATATATACTTTTTTTTTTTTTTTCTTGAAAATTGATAAGACCAAAATTATCGACCATATTCACAAAGCCTCTGTAACATTTGTGACATCAAAATGTAGTTTTTTTTCCAAAAATAGAATCAGACGCCATGACACCTCGAGTTGCTACTGATCTAACCTTCCCCCTCCAGCAATTGTACTAACAGTACTACCACCTTTATAATCTACAATTTATGTCATTTTTTTATCTGCTACATATGGTAATTTGAATTTAGTTTTGAATGCACAATAAGAAATTATGGTCTTGTTAATTAAAATCAGAGTTGTAGGTGTTTGACCCAAAAATCCTTCTAATAGTGCAATAAAAATTGTCCTCTGAGAAGTCTGTGGCATTGAGAACACTTGTATAAAAGAGGTGAAAATGTGATAAATAATGTTGAATAATGTATTTTTATGTATGTATTAGGTAGAGCTGTTCATGTGCAAACTTAAAAGTGGCCAGTTGCTGAAGATTTTTATAGCATTCAACAGAAAGAGCTAGAGACATGTGTGTGCAAATGAGGTTTAGACATAGATTTATTCAAAATATTTATCATAACAGATATGGTTAATTATTATAATAAATGATACACAGGCCAGTCTTGTTAAAACACCGCAGGCAGTGCTGCTGTTATTTGCTTTGATCAGGTCTTTTGTTTACTCCCATTATTATTGATATTGAAGTCCGAGAAAGATACATTTGCCGACAGTTTCCCCAAAAAGGTAACATTCGTTCATTCCTCTCACCTGGAGAAGAGACACGCAGACAGCCAAAAACTGTACGAGGTGAAACGATGTGTGTATGTGTGTGTGTGCTTTATACAAAAATACATGAATATAGATATATATAATGTCTATATACATATATGTAGACAGATATACATATATTATATATATATATATATATATATATATATATATATATAGAGAGAGAGAGAGAGAGAGAGAGAGAGAGAGAGTCCCTCTCTATACCAGACGCGATCGCTCCCGTCTTGTAACAGTCAGATCAGAAACTGAATCTATAGCACTATCAAATTTAACTGATCTTTCTGGCAACCCCATTCCTACAGAACCTCATCCAACCCTTAAAACCTGTACCAGAACTGTCTCTCTCTCCCCAGCAAACTGCCCAGTCGATACCAAAGATTGGTCAGACTGTGGAGAAGACTTATTATTATGCCTCAAAGACCAAGATATGAAATCAGTACATTGCTACACCATTCCTCCTAAAGGTCAACGAAAGAATCCGACCAACATTGCCAAAATTACATTCCGTACACATGACTTTCCCTTACATATCTACATCGGTGTTCGACCATACCAACCCCCTCCCCATCAATGTCAAAACTGTTGGCGCTTTGGACATCCTGCCAAACATTGCCGTTCCACAGACCGATGCCCCATTTGTGCCCAACCTGGTCATAACCGATCAAACTACTCAGCACAAACACGAACATGTGCTAACTGCGGCGGCCCCCATAATATATTTTATAGAGGCTGCCCACTTACAAGTTTGAATCTGAAGTAGCAACTCTCAGATACAAAAATGGACTCACTTTACGTGAAGCCAGACAGGAAGCACGTCGACAAGGTTTCTCTCATACTCCATACTCTAGTAACATCGTTCGCTCAGCCCCTCCCCCTCCACCCCAAAATGTCCCCATTTCCACTTTTACATTCTACATCCCTCAGACCAATTCTTTTGCCACTCTAAACCCAGACACCCCAATCTCAACCACAGCTCCAATCTCAACTACAGCCCCAACACCAACCCCTCTCCCTCCCCGCACTACCCGCAGTAGACAGACTAAACGTTCTTATACCTCTAAATGTGTTCCATGGTGAAATTCTGATTGCACCAAAGCGCTTCGCTTAAAACGAGCAGCCTGGAACGGCTATCACTACAAACGAGGCACCCCTCACCAGCTATCAGCCCTTATTTCCTTTAAAAGGGCATCTGCCCATCTTTGCCGTACAATTAGAAACAGCAAAACAAATAGCTGGCAAGATTATGTTTCATCAATTACATCTACATCTATTTTAGCTGTTTGGCGACGGATCCATAAATTATCAGGCAAACATCCCCCCCATCCTGCACCCGTCCTCCATATTCGAGATACTCATATCTGAACCTGTCGAAGTAGCTAATGAACTGGGCAACTATTTCAGCCAGGTCAGTAGTGGCTCTCACCTTTCTCCACACTTTTCTTCCATTAAAGCCATCAAAGAACGCATC